TATATATACTGAAATAACTAATATGTGAAATTATAAATTATTCGAAAACGAAAGTGTGTCAATATATACCGATGTTTATTAAAGATAAATACATTATATGAATGATCGTTTAACCTTTCAGCCAAGAACACATCACCAAATGATTTAAATTTTCGTACCGACACATACGATCAAGAGCGTATAAAGAAGGGCTAAGAAAAAAAGCTTAAAGAAAAAGCTTAAGCCAAAAAGGCTTCTTTATACGCTCTTGATACGATGATAGATAAATCACTGATTTCCAGGTCTAAACTATAACGAACATTGCAATAACGAGATATCGCGCGTGACAAGAAATAAAAATGTAGAATGATAATGAATTATTTATTAAAGCGTAGATCGTGGATACGATGGTATATTTAATAACAAAGGCGATTAATCATTTTGACCTGCGCTCGTCCATGCATCCGTAGGCATCCACATCCCTCCAGTGACTTGTCTTCCGACGCTGCCATTAAGTCCTTACGAACAAGCACAGAAGATATCTTATTATTACATGATAACACTTCGCGTTTAGAACACGCGTCACACATGTACCGATAAAAGCAAAAAAGTGAAAAGGTAGGAGGGCGACGATCACTACGCCAACCGTTGATTGATAGTCTTTCTTTCTCCAGTATATATAACCGTGGCATTACTAGCTCCCTCCCTCTCTCACCGCTCTTTTACCGTCCGCCCCCCACCTGCTTCAACCTCTCCCCATCTCCTGTCCCTCTACCTTCCCTCCCCTTTCCCCTCCCTCTCTTCTCCCCTTCTCTCACCGCTCCTCTACCTTCCGTCCCCAACTTTCTTCCCTCTCCCCTCTGCTATCTCGCCCCTCCCCCGCCACCTCCACCTACCTTCCTCTCCACCTCCGCCTCCCCTCTTTTCTCCCGCCCCTTATCTCTCCCGCCCCCTCTCCACCTTCGCCTCCCCTCCCCTCCACATCCGCCCCCTCCCCTTTCCCGCCCCTCACCTCTCCCGCCCCTCATCCTCCACCTCTCTGCCTCTTTGCTCGATCTACTCGCCTGCCTGCCTGTCATATCGTCTGCCTGCCTGTCTACACGTCTGCCTGCCTGTCTACTCGTCTGCCTGCCTGCCAGTCTACTCGTCTGTCTGCCTGTCTACTCGTCTGCCTGCCTGTCTACTCGCTTGCCTGCCTGTCTACACGTCTGCCTGCCTGTCTACTTGCCTGCTTTCCTGTCTACTCGCCTGCCTGCCTGTTTGTCTACACGTCTGCCTGCCTGTCTACTCGTCTGCCTGCCTGTCCACTCGTCTGCCTGCCTGTCTACTCGCTTGCCTGCCTGTCTACACGTCTGCCTGCCTGTCTACTTGCCTGCTTTCCTGTCTACTCGCCTGTCTGCCTGTCTACTCGCCTGCCTGTCCACTCGTCTGTCTGCCTGTCTACTCGCTTGCCTGCCTGTCCACTCGTCTGCCTGCCTGTCTACTTGCCTGCTTTCCTGTCTACTCGCCTGCCTGCTTGTCTAGATCACCGTTCTAACGTCATCGGCAGAGCTGTCAATCTCCTTCTCCTCCTCCCCCTTGTCTTCCTTCCCCTCCTCACTTCCCTTTCCCTCCCCCTCCTCCTCCCTCTTCTCTTCTTTCCCCTCCCCACCTCCCTTCCGTTCCCCTCTCCCGCCCTCCGCCTCCTCCTCCACCTCCTCCTTCACCTCTCCGCCTATCCGCTCACCGTTCTAGCGTCATCGGCAGAGCTGACTCGGGCTTCGCCAGCAGAGACTTAGCATACTCTAGCGTCATCTTCTTCGTGTCCTCCTGGCCGATCTTCTTGATGCGGTCTCCCTGGACGACGCCGCAGCGGTGCGCTAGACTCCTGGGTACGACCTGTAACATCGGAACACACACACACACGATGATGATGACTGTAGCGTTGAGAGGCATTAGCGTGGATTCTGTCTGTCTGTCTCGCGCGCGAGCTCGAAGGCTCCTCTTACTTCTCTCTCTCTCTCTCTTTCTCTCTTTCTCCTCTCCTCTATCACACACACACACACACACACACACACGCGCGCGCGACGCACGCACACACACACACACACACTGCGCACACACACACACACACACACACGCACGCACGCACACACACGCACGCACGCACGCACACACACACACACACACACGCAAACGCACACACACACATACGTACCACTTTTATCCTAAACGACTGAGGGAACAGCAGTGATGAACACTCTCCTTGTCCCGACACACTGCGCCTCTCTCCAGAGCAGATCCTTCACAAGCTAGCTACAGCTACAGGCTACGAAGCAAGACCACGATGCGATGTTCTATATATATATATATATGCGTGTGCGCGTATGTATATGCGTGCACGCACAGAGAGGGGGAGAGAGAGGGAGGTGGGAGGAGAGGATATTTTGAAGATGGGTGATGTGATCCTCTATCGCAGGGATTTGCTTGAATGAGCGCGGAACTGGGAACGAGGTTTCCGGCTGCAGCTAGTGCAGGGCTTCCGGAAGTTAAGGGGAAGGGAAGCGGAAATCATCCCGATATGGCCGGACGAGGGGATTACGAAACGGTTGCAGAAGTTTTTTTCGCACGTCTGTCACTCTCTGCCTCTCCCTCCGCCCCCTCATTCTCTCTCTTCTTCTCTCTCGTTCTCTCTCTCTCTTCTCTCGCCCCTCTCGAGCGCTCTCTCTTTTCTCACGTTATTTCTCCTTTCTTCATCTTCTCGCTCTCCCCTCTCTCTCACTCACTCCCCATCTCTCTCTCT